CAGGAAAGTATGTACAATGAATAAATTTAAATTTAAATGCATAAAAGTCTACAGGGTGTGCCGTTTGATGTAAAATATTGGAAACACTTTCCGAAATGTAGCTTCTATCCAAAAGCAGCTTTTTGTGAACGGAAAGGTGCATTGCAGAAGAAAAGTGCACCACTCAGGTTCATCAATTTTTATTTATATGTTTAGATGATCTTTTTGAGATTCTCTGTACATTATGGAAAGCCGGATTTGGGCAAGAAAGCATCCAACATTAAGTCCTTTTCTGTAGAATTCGGTCCTCCTTTCTGCATACAGTTGCTTATGTCTTATTTATGTAAAACTTCTTATACAGATTGGCAAGTATAAGATCAATGTGCGTGTATTTTTAAATTTATAACGTATGCAGGATGTTCCAAAATAATTCAATTATTGGTAACGCTTAAAAGGCCCCTCAATTGTTTAATTAGCGACAATCTCTAAAAAACACACAGAAAAAGTTATAATAAAATAAATCATTAACATTCCGCAGCAACGAAACGAAGCAAAAGGGAGAGCAAAAACACAGTGCTTTAAAAGAAAGTTGTACGCGAGTAAAAACTATTTTCTCTGTTTCAGCGTGAACGCACTGTATATTAAAAATCCTATACGTGTGAGACTGCAGAAACTTGCTTGATGAATTTGAAAAAATAATTTGAGGTTTTCATCAGAAATCATATTTTGTTTCTCTAACATTTTATTCTTCTCTGTCCTCTTTCAAATCTGTGGATCCGTTCTGTTAAGAGTAGTGACTGTAGCTAGTATGCTTTCAGTCCTTAAAACCAAAAAACTGCTCCTAATTTTGTCACACGTTCCCCATAAAAAAACGGAGACATTGAGGACTCCTTTCTCTCAATTCTGAACCCTTGAAGTTGAAAAGCGCGATTAATTCTTCAATAATCGACATTTTCAATGTTAATTTCCAGGTGGCAGCGCCTAAAGAAGTGATTAACGAATACCAAGAACGACCACAAAAACTAGTGGCCAGATACATAAAAAAGTACCTCCAAACTAAGGGCAGACTATGCTCCTTAGACGGGCATGGTTCCATGGCAGTGAAAAGCCCCAGACGGTTCAAGTTAGTGCAGCAAGAGTCCCAAACCTTCGAGTAATCATTCCCCTCATGAAAATTTCCATGATTTTCGTTGTTTCCGTTGCTTGACCCAACCAACCCGCTAGTTTATCGATGGCGTTAAAACGCATGGTACAAAAGTGTTCAACAGCTGAACTTGTACATACTAAAACCAAACCAGCTGTTATTCTATCATTGTGGGGATGTGATTGTTCGTATAGGTGGCCACTGTACATGTATAGCAACAGTTAAAACGCCAAAGTAAATATTATTTTTTCAATTAGACTTTTTTAACGGCGATTAGAGTGTAGCTTATAATTTTAAGGGGAAATTTAAGTAGCTGGGGCAGGGAACAGCACAAAACCGCGATCGTTCAGAAGGTTTCAGGATTGTTGGAAACTTTCCCCATCTCAAGCTCTATCCAGACTAGTCATGGTTTAGAGTCAAAGGTTTAAAAAGGTATGCAGTTTGATTGTTGCAGCTATTGGTCAGTTGACTTGTTTTGGCTCCATCTCCTTAATACAGTTTCCACCAATTCCGGACGCAGTTCTCCTGAACTAGATCGGGTTTACATTATAATATATTATTACATTCCAAGTTGCTAATAATTGTTAAGTATGTAGTTAGTTTAGTAGCATTATATTGTTAATGAATGTCAATACCTACACACACCACAAGTTTGAAATATTTGCTAGCTGGTAAGAACTAATAAAGTTATTATTATCATCCATTATCAGTTAGAGTTAGGTATTGAACGCAGTGTATTTTTAGGATGTATTAATTAATACTGCCGCATCTAGAGTTGATCGTTTTAAGCCCCCAAATGTGGACAGACTTACATATCATATACCTAGTGCCCAACCGATATCTTCTAGGTATGTGTTGCACACTTTTAGAACTGATTTTCTTATGTACATACATATATCTCTCTAAACGGTCATTTTTTTACATTGCATCAAGCGGTAACACCATTAAGTAGATAAGTACGCAGCATTCCTATTAATATTGTTAACTCTTACTAATTGTGGGCTTCGGAAGACAATACAATTAAATCTGTTACGTTTATAAGCAAGAAATTACAACGATAAATGTGTTTTGAGGAATATTTCATTGTAAGTGCGTGTAGTAAGATCAATGCGTAGGTACCTACAAAAATAATGACCTAAATCTAAAGCAAAAACGACTAAAACCACCATCAATATCTTACTACACTTGTTATTGCCTAAACAATGCGGTTAATAATCCCAAGGAAGCTATAGGAATTCATTGTTATATATGCTATTAATATCGACAACTTTGAATCATATTGTGTATGAACATTGTTAACTATACCCCATGTGTTGGCTTTAAATAAAATATTTATAATACTGGTTTTGCTTTTTATTTGGTTTGTTTTTCCGAAACCCGTTTGACTCAAATTTCACGTCTTATGCGAAAAAATGATCAAGAGTGTTAAGTTTTTTTAAATAAAAAACCGATAGAGTGATTGTTGAATCGCTTCTCTCCGTACCAGACAATTTTGCTGAAAGTATGATTAATTTTTTTGGAAAAACAGTAAATATTTCTCTTAAAAACTTTTTTATTGTCATTTTTCCATTCTGTGGTCCATTATTAAAATGAAAATGAATACCACAGGGCCCGGGATTCCCTGACTGTGTTTTTATTTGTGCACTTATTTCCTTTCTAAAGCCACTTTGTAATACTTCCAATTAGTTCTCTTTCCCTTTTCTTGCCCTTTTATCTAAGCCTAAGAAAATTGGGAAAAAAAGAGGCGATTGGAGAAGAATCTCTTAACAGAAAATGGTTGACAACATCCACAAAGAACAGGAATTAACAGAAAAAAATTGGGAAAAAAATGGAATTTACTTTCAGCACAATTCTTAGCCAGCTATTAGAAGTATTAGTCTATTTAAGTCCATTAAAATTGACCACTGAGGTGAACTGAAAGCGACTTTCCAACGGCCTAAAAGCTCGACAAAGCTCACAAGCTTCATGCAAAAGCCTAACTTTTTCATGCAACGATGGGAATATGGAATACACATTAGCGATTTTTTTTAAACAGTTTTTTAACGGATTATAGCGTGGTGACCGAAATGGTCAAATTTCAAAAAAAATTAAAATGACACTGACACGATAATTTTGAAGAAATTTAGAAACTTAAAACAGTAGCAGCTTATGAGTGCTGAGATTATTATTGAGCAGCCACTTCTTAAAGGTAAGTGAAACTAAACTGTAGCTTTGGTTAGAATGCAAAGTATTTCTAAGAACTGCTGCTGGCTATTCACCTAAGAAGCAAGTGGCTTTCTGTATAAATCATTGAGCTTTCGCGGTTTTCTTGGAATTTCTTGGGGCGGATGCAGCTTTAAATTCAGGGGGGGGGGTTATGTAGAAAAATACAGTCTTCTGTTGTCTGTGAAATTAGAAAAATTATCGTGGTTTTGTGCAAGGGTGGAGCAAGATTATTGCAAAATTTCATGTTTTCCGTCCCGTTTTGCATGTTTCTCGGAAGCAAATTGGAGCATTCCAGAGATAACTAAATGGCCTTTTTAGAAAGTGAACCATCGATAAGGAAATGTTGCAGTTTTCTCAAAAAATGCTTGAATTCAAGAAGTTTTAGATTTGCGTGGTTTTTTTTGAGTTGCAAAATCCACTTGAACATGACGCTGCTTTTTTCGAAGTTTCTCAAGAACCATTCGAGCCAGAGAATTCGTTTTGGCATCGTTGGATAGAGAATTGAATGGGGGGGTCATAACCCCCCCCCCTGGATCCGCCCTTGCTACGGTGGTAAAATTGTTCTCTTAAGAAAAAGCAACTTAAAAATGACGAACCTTAACAATTTTTAAATTTTAACTCGATAAGTCTTTAAATAAAATATTTCAGTAAACAATACACCACTTTTGAGAACAAAAGTCTGTATTATAATAATTTCTTAAGGGTACATGAAATTAAAAAATAAGTAAATGGATCATTTTATCTGCGAGTTGCGGATTAAATGATCACATAACAACCTTAAAAGATAAAAAGTACTTAAAAGTTAAACATTCTCTGGACTCTGGCTAACTCTAGGAGCACCATTATTCACAAATCAACTCACCCTCATCTTAATCTAATTTCTAGATGAAGCATAATTCGTGATCCAATTTAAACACTTTCCACATTGAATACTTAATTGATGTCTTTATTCGTGTTCCTCAGAGAAGTCGAAATTTATTTCTTTCTCAAATAGCTGGAAATATTTTCTTTATATTTTGTATCTTCTTAGTTTCTTTTGCCTTAGTGTCTTCTTTACATGCCCATTTTTTCGATAAGTTGGCTTTCCTTTTGCTTCTTTTTTGATAATATCCTCGAAAACCTCAAGAATCTTCAAAGCAGATCAAACTAACAAAGTTTTCTTTAGTAATTCCTTGGAATAAACCGTTAATCGTGAAGAACGTTTGATTCTACGTTAGTTTAAGTTGGTGTGGGTTAGTTTTAATTTATTAGCGATTGTTTGTGTTTATTTGGAATGGTTTGGATTTTTTGAGTTAGATTGAGATGGTTTGCAAATCCAACGTTAAATTGCAACATTGTTATTAAAAATTCTTTAGTATTCTTATGGTAATTCTTTAGCATAAACCGATAGTATTAAAGGACGTTCCCTTGAGGTTAGTTTTAAGTAAGTTTGCGCTAATTTGAGTTTGTTTTGAATAGTTTCGATTATTTTGGATTAAATTGGGTTCGTTTGAAAATTAAACTTTAAATTGCAACCTTTTTTCGTAAAAAATTGAGAACAAACAGTATAAAATTTAACGATTTAACTCTTGAAACACGAGAAACAAAAATAAATGATGATAAATGTGCTTGGTAAAACTTGGTAAAAATATGAGTTCAAAAGTCGAAACACTGACGCGTTGCGATCAAATATTGCTGAAATTGGAGCCGATTTAGTTCTGTATGGATTCTGTAGTTGAAGCCGAGGTGAACTTTTGAATGCTGCATCCTTCAAAATATAAATGGCATAACTTGTACATTAAAGTAGAAAATAAATTGCAAATATTTTCAATATTTGGGATTTTATTTCGTATTAAAAATATCGTCTTTTTGGGAACCCCAGGAAAAACAATAAGTAACAGGAAGACGAAAACTATAAGCAACTAATGAAATGCTATGAAAAAAAATTCAGGCAATTCCTTTTCAAAATTCTTCTCAATTTTATTCATCTATCTCAACTGTAGCCCAAGCTATATGTCTATTTAACGCGTAAACTATTTTTGAAAAAACCATTTACTTTTACATTTTCTACCCTTGACAAAGAATGATAGAAAATCTCTTTAAATTGCTATTGACGTAGATAATTGCGACCTGCAACTTATCTGGCAATAAAACTATTAAACATTATCATTATTGTTATTATTTTTATCAATCGTCTATAATTTGTTGCCTACATTTCGTACACTAGGCCGAAAATTTTTGTGCGAAATATTTATCGAAAAAAAAAGACGCAGAGTACTAATCTAAAAATAGAGTAAATGCCGGTCATACTTCTTATCTGTTCTTCTGGTATTCCGGTTGACCCGTATAAATTAGATGCGATTTTTATTACAAAACATAGTGTTAAATTTATGAATGAGACATCTGGCGCTGTTTCGTTTTAAGGCTAGGAATAGTTTGCACAAGAGAAAATATGACTATTTTTGGATATTGCTAATAAATTCGTCTTCCCACGATTGCGAACAGCTTTGCATCCACAAGCTTCAACAGTTGGTTCCATGAAGCTTTCCTGCTTGGTGCCTGTGCAAGGTGGGTGAACATTTTTTCAGTCTAACTTCCATTTCTGCATTTTAACTGTCTTTTAGTGATTTATCCCGTTTTTGTGCTACTATTCATGTAGTTTTTGCCTTGAGCTCTGGTTGCAAGTTGTTACTGCCTGTTTTTGTCATATCAATGCCCGATTGAGGGCAAATTTTCGCATTTTTTTGCTCATTCGCTTTGGCATCGACTAGGGAAAATTCCACCCTGGAAATCGATTGCATGCTTCGGGCAAGGTTGCCGCAACCCTTCCAATCACCCCCATCAGCTCTTGTCCACCATCAGCATGAAACAAGGACGGTTTTAAATCAAGTGTTAACTAAAAGTGCGACAAATCAGTCATTAGAATCAGTTCCTAAAGCAATTAGTAGCAGTAGCGAAAAGTCGGGTAGAAAGTCTGCAGTTCGCTTAAATCCTGCAACGTTGCAGGACCGGCCCCATCCGATAACTCCTACAATGTGACGGAAATGCTTCCTGGAGCAGAACAAACCGTAACGCGAAAAACTTGATTTTGTTGCAATGGAACAAAAAACGTTACGCATTGTTGATGACCGACCAATAAAAGTCAATCAGTTTCCCAGTACGTTGACATTAGTGTGGTGTTTTACGCGTTTTCGGCTCGAAGGACCGCGAAACGACCACACACTTGGTCGGAGTGCTTTCTTGTAAAATTTCATTCGGAGAATGTGTGAACTGTGCGAAATGGCATTGGGGAACTGTTGGATCAAGTGGGGTACAGGTACCTTACCCATTTTCTTTTGAATTGTTTTGCAGATGTCTTGCTTCTGACTTTAACAATTGCTGTAAAAACTCCATTGGAGTAAGGTCTGGATATTGGGCAGGCCACTGCGCTATCTATAAAGCGTCGTTAAAATTGAGTTTTCCTTTGTTCCTTAGTTAACCGCTTTGATAATTGAACGAGATTCCAACTTAATTCATTTATAAATTTCCTACTAGAAACGATTAGTTATTTCATGCTAGTCGTGCATAAAACTGTTTAAAAAAATTATTAAAACCAGCTATCTTTTTTGTGGCCGTGAATTTATTTAAATACTTCAGCATTCGTTTTTAGTAGCAATTATTAGGGATGTTTAGTGCTTTTAGCAATCAAAGTTTTAGATCATGAATGGTTCATGTAAACGGATGCAGCAAAAACGATCCACTACATTTGAAGCCTTTGACGATTCATATGATGCGGGAAGTTTTATTTCAAAATTTTCAAAACGCTGAACTCAATTGAGGTTTTAATGGACTATGAAGGCTTTCACGGCCGGTTAAATCACATTTAGGAATGTTTTCGGGGCTTTGAGGCCGTGGTCTATGGGAATTTCTTCCTGACGTTTCGTCCACAACTGCGGTGGACATTATCAAAGGCGATGAGGCAGTGGGCGAAGTGATGAAGTGATAGTAGTCGGAAAGCACGGGAGATCGCTTCGCCCACTGCCTCATCGCCTTTGATAATGTCCACCGCAGTTGTGGACGAAACGTCAGGAAGAAATTCCCATAGACCCCAGCTGCAAAGCCCGGAAAACATTCCTAAATGTGAGGTTTAGTGCTTTTATCATAATTTTTGGTTAATTTTATTCCTAATTTGCTGCAGTAAATACAACTTACGGTTTTTTTGAGTTTACGTATATGTATACATTACATACATATGTAATGTTTATTTTGTGCACATCGTCCATTTACTGTGATTAACATCGGTTCTAGCAAAAATGCCGAGTTCAAAAAATTGGAGAAAAGCACCGTTTTATCAAGTAAATTAATGAATAAAAAAAAATGTTGATACATACTTCCAGCTAATATATTTTTTTTCAATTTTCTAAGCGTTTGACTTTTTGCCGTTTAGTGAGCCATTTACGCAAGAAAGGGAAGCAATGGCGCTAAACTATTTTAGATTTATGTATTTATCCGTTCTTTTTTCGTTTTTTGCTTAGCATTTTGCCTGCATATAAAAACTATACAGAGAAAATTTTCCAACAGGGCGTTAGAACGTTTAACAGTAATAACGTTCATAAAATAACTAGAATAGAAAACATCAAATAGACATTTTTTTAATTTTTTACAAACTTCTTTTTGGGTATTTCGCCTCAAAAATTTTTGTCTTTAAAAAAGACAGAATTTCCTCACGTCTTTTATTACAGATTGATAAATAGTGCTCCTATTATAAGCTGTAAGAGAAAATTCCAATTAGTAGAGAAATTAATTTGAAAAATTACCTTGACGTTTCGATAGCTATTTTCTGCTATCGTTATCAAAAGAACCTAAATGAACCTAAAAAAGAGTATGTTAATAAATTGTATAACAACAGTAGGATAATAAAATATATCAAAATTCGCTCTGATAATTCGTTTGTGCAAATTGTCAGTTATGTGACTTTGACTTAATCTCATTGTTTAAATTAATAAAGGTAATGTTA